AGATTTTTCAGACTATATTTTAGGATTCAGCGCACAATTTTGCATGGGAAATGACAATTAGCGTACAAAGTTCAAATATGCTGTAAACAGTGTTATGAGTTTGCGACAGGTTGCGATGCTACCACCCAAATAAACATTAAATTGACCGTTGCTTACTATTCGATGAAAAGTATGCGAGTGTTATGTCTGTTTGTATGTGCTTATAATATTAAAAAAAAATCACTGAAAGTGGTAAAGGTAGATAGATTTTGACTTTTTATCACCCATAAAATCAATGAAAATTTTAATGAAAGCTTTGTTTAAGAAATAGACGCCTTTTAAGATTTGATTCCCATACCTCGCAGTTCAAAATCATTACGATGGTTTTCAACATGGCCACGATAGGCCAAGTTTATAGGCCTATTGGCCTCTAAAAATTTGTATAATACCGATAAATCTATATATCTAGCAGATCTGCATCGTTTTCCAGTCGAGCGGGCTGATTATATTAAAAATACCTAACTAAAAGATATGCTCAATCATGTGACATGCACACGGCCGCTGAAACTAACTCAGCGAATAAATCTCTTTTACTCAGTTATATGGTATATTTGTATAAACCGAGATTACTTTGAGTAACCCCACTTTTCACCTTTTTTTCATATTTTAGCAATACACTCAGTAACTGAGTTGAATTCAACGGCCTTGGAATCCGTGCTTTAGCTGTCCAATTATTCTTACACAGATAGCGCTGCTATGCCATGCTAAGCTTTTAGGCTTTTGCTTTTCATTTCGCTTCGAAAGCTATTCAACGAAGTAGTGGTGAAAAGAACTACGATGTAATCAATAAATATGTGTATGCGTGCATTTAATGGTACAAGGAGGAGCACTGTCAGGCGTTTTTTAGCCAATGATTTATGCTGGAAAAAGTATTTATCTAAAAAACAAATTTAATCGTTTTTTTGCATATTTTATCTCTTTATTTTTTAGCTAACATTGCAGTTCTCTGTTTGTTGCTTTGTTATCCTAAATTAAAATTTATGTATTAATTTTTTTTAATTAGCAGTTCATTAAAAAAAAATTGTTTATTTGACGGAAATATGCAATCACTATATCTATTATGCTACCGGGTGGCCATAAAACGGTAATTTCACTCTGTAATATAGCTCCTAGTTGTAGAACTATGATGATATATTGCTTGCCTGTTTTGTTGCAATATACACAGCTAAGGACATAGTTTGATCGGAAACGAGAAAAAACATAACAATAAAAAAATGTCATCAACACACGTGTATTCGGCGCTACTTCGTGAAGCAGCTTTCCAACAATTAGGTCTTTTTCAACTAACGGCCCAAGTGAGCTAAATTACAAAGGCAGTTCGTCATTTAAAAAAGGGAAGAAGATTATATCATCATTGCTAGCCATTGCTGACAAAGCGTTATCATTTCGCTCGTTGATCGCTTGTCATTTTGACATTTTGAGATATTTTTGATTCCTTGATCTACACATAAAAATACATTTCATATTTTATTCAGGCCATAGCACCAACAGTTTGAGTACTTGTGCTAAAACTGGCACACTTACCCTACTTCATCAACCTGAAGTGTTTAAAAATGTCCAGCGAACATTACTGAAACCTTAGATCAGCTGAAGATCTTTTGAATACTTCCTGATTAACTTGTCGTCTAGGAAGGAAATCTGAGATACGACATATGAATTTTCGGACAATTGATCTACCTGTAGCCTTGGAATTTAACCGCCTTGAAATTACTACTACTACTATTTACCTGAGAATCCGTGAATATCAAATTTCGTTAAATTAAAACAAGGTTCCTTTACTTCTACAAAGTTTCATGAATTTATGAACATAAACTTCAATCCTATCCGAAATTTCGTTAGCTTCTATAAAGTTTCCCGATTCATCAAGCTTCTCGAATTTCTGGTAAGTTTTGTTAACTTCTACTAAGCTTAATGAACTTCTACTATTTATCCCTGGTTTATACAAAGTCTCCTAATTCTTTAGGAATTCCAGTGAATTTATACCAAGTTTGCTATACTTGAACGAATTTCCTATACCTTAAACAATGTTTCCTAAACATCTACAAAATTTACTGAAATTTTGGAAAATTTCCTCAATTAATTGTTTTGCAAAATTCTCTGAAATTTATCGCTGCGCTTTGACGATCTGCGTCGATAGGTTCAGACAGTTTATCGCCTATCCACAGGCCCATCCGATGATGAAAAGCTTCAGTTGTGTAATTGAAGTAAAAAAAAATGCTTAGAATTCGTGGAAGAACACGGGATCCAAGATGCAGGAAACTTTTCGATCGAAGAACTCGCTCAGGAGTAATTCCGCCAAAATCCCAGGAGAATCGATTTCACCTAGTTGCACTTTTGCTGCAAACGCTACCTGGTATAGCATTTTCTTTCTGGCGGTGACTTTCGTCCAATGATTTCGGATGACTCGAAATAGAACTCAAGGTTTTGACTAATAATTGAAACGCTGTTCCACCTACATTTATAACAAATTATATTTTGTCCCTTTTCTATTTTCCTCCCTAATCTATCCTACACTACTAAGGTCATTGGTCATCAATCATGACCGATATTTGCTTTAAGTTCTAAAGGGCTGTTCATAAACCACGTAGATACTTTGATTGATTTATATTATTTAGGTGATTTTCAGCCGTAGGCTGGGCCATCTTCGACACTAGCGGAAGGGGGTGGGGGTGTTTGGCAATTGTCCACGTTCCATAAATGTTTTCAAAAATATGTTTAGATGATTGTAATACACAGGGAGAGTAAGGGGGATCTAAAACCTCTTTAAAACGGTCTACGTAGATTATGAACAGCCCCTAAGTGCATGAAGATGACGCAGCTGTGGGTGTAATTAAACTACCTCACGTTACTAAGCGCGTCGGTCTTCAATCATGACCGTTAAATACTTTTAGTCCTGCATCCTGATGATGCAGCTACGTGTGTAACTGTGTGTGTAAGTTTTTCCTACACCGGGTTACTGAAATGCGAGTTGGGTACACCATCGACGTAGCGGTTAAACTAAGTGCGTTGCATATACTCTTGCCTGGTGGTATCTTAAAATAAAATGAGAAACATCAAATGGAGGAAATAGATTTTAGGAGGGGTCTGGTCACCAGGCCACCAGGTTTCTAATGACCTCAATGAAAGTTTATGCTTTTGATTTTTATTTCTTTTTTCTAAATACATATATTTCTTTCCATTGATTTGTTTTCCGTCGATCTTGTTTTCCGTACTGAGTACCAATGCTTCTGATGCCAGGGACCTCCCACACCTGGACCCTACCTATCGACCCATCAACTCATGGACCGGGGACCAACGGCTTTACTATTTTTTCTAAATATATCATACGTATTTAGTCTTTTTCTTTCCCACATACATTTAATTAATATTATTATTTTATTAATTCACATGTACTTATTTGTTTACTTATTTTAATTTTATTTATTTATTTATTTATTTTAACCCCTTTTAATATTTTTTCCACTTTTTCATTGAAACTCTTTATTTGGTTTAAAATTAAATTGTTCCTGACTTTAGTTTTTTTTTTTTATTTGAGGATACGAGAGCCCTTGGATTGTTTTTCAAATAATGTTCTGTCTCGCGTTAATTTATAGTAAAAATGACTTGGAGAAGTTCTGATTTACGAAGTGAAGCCGACGGACGAGGAAGAACTATAGAGTTTTCAACACCCTCCCCCCTCCAAATTTGTACACTCAGGTATGCCATTCGGTTACCTATAGCTTGAAACGGATAATGTGATTGGAATCAAGTCGATAGGTTGTATCGTTGTCGAGAAATCGTTAAAAACGTACCGTGTGAATCGCGAAAAACCGTGTAAAAAAACCGCGTAAAAAAAAAAACGTATATTAGTGTAATTTATATATTTTATAAAGTAAAAATCGACAAAATTTAAATTCATATCAATATTATTATTATTACCATTTTCCAAAGGGAAAATTAATACTTTTTTGTCCAATGTTCAATATTTTAATTATTTCAGCATTCATTGTTTTTAAATCATTAATTTCGTCAAAATGTGGTTCTTCATTGAATTATCTTTTATGGTGTCTGGATTTTTTCGTCAATTAGTTTTATTTCTTTCGGAGCTTGTGGAAAAGCTATTTTTACATTTTCATATTTGAAATCAGATGATCCACTAGCAAAATGATGGAAGTAGCGTAAAATTCGACTTGGGCACCCATTGACTGTTTTTGGCAAGCAAAATTTAAACGTCAATTTTACTGTATATTCCCATCAAAACACTTTTCCAGTTTTTCTATTCACAAGATTCCTAAGTCATTGAGCTTCAATGTTATGTTAGATTTTCCTTTAAATGAAATATGCGCATCAAAAATTTCGGATGATTTCGAGTTGCCGCAGTTGAAATGGAGGAAAACGAGGCTGCCAACAATAGTCACACTCACCTGAGAAGTTTGGAGCATTGAAAAACGCTTTCAAACGGTTTTGGACAATTCTGTCGGTTGAAAGGGATAGAGCAAGAAGCAGTAGATAAATGTAAACAAACAAACGCGACATATTCCGTGACGCTGAAAAAATACTAACAGAAGCATGGATGCTGCATAGATTGACGAGAATACGTCAATTTCCCTACATATCTCCAGATTTGGTGAATCATGGCTTAATGAGTCTTAACATTCCAGCTCTGGGAAATTCTGAATTGGTTAATTTATTGTTAATTTATCATTTTTATTGAATTGACCCCTTCCCTCCCATGTAAGAACATATAAGCAAATTTGAAAGACTCTCTCTCCTAAATGCTTACGTTCAACGTCCTCTATAGAGCTTTGAGGCAGGCTGGATTACAAAACTCGTCGGAGATCCAGGGTAAGTGTTACACTTATTGCAGTTTTGAAGCTATGTTTGTTTTACACGAATAAACGTATAGAATACATACGATGATGTCGTTCTGAAAAGTTTTTTAAACTTGCATATTGTTTAATATTACAAACTCTGTTTCATTCTTATCACAAAATCTGATGTTTCTAAATGCTCGTATACATTCATCACTGTCAACCTTTCGTCGGTTTGTCATCAACATTAAGTATAACTTCTCAGTTGTAGTTTTTTTAATTGAAATTTTACTTTTCACCTCCAATCCTACCTAAGACAAATTAAATTTTACATAGAACTACTAACTTAATTAGTCAGTCATTGCAATTTGATACTTGTCTACAACATTCAACTATTGTACGCACATCTTCCAAGCAGATCATGAACACGGCTTTCATTGATATCTAATAGAGATTATTTACATCATAGCGTTTGTAGAGCGCTTACTGGTAACGAATTTCGTGTAACACGAGATGATTTTTTTTAGTTTCTAGTTAGGGAATGAATGAAATAGTACAAACAATTCGCGTTGAATTTTGGCGTGATGCTATTTAAAAAATGAGTTTTATGATTTTGAACTAAGTTACTTTTCCGCATTAATTTAGTCCTAGCTAACTGTTGTTTCGTTTGCGTACGAGTCGGTTGTAGTTGCATTCGATTCGGTTGTGGTTGCATTCGGTTCGGTTGTAGTGGTAACATTAGATAGCGAATCACGTTCCCGTTTCCCCCGTCGATTGTAGTAAGGTCTTTGCATCCAGAGTTCCTTGATTAAATCGGCACCCTTTTCACCGATCATGACGACCGGCGCATTGATGTTTCCACTAGTGATTCGTGGCATTATACTTGCATCAATAATACGCAATCCTTTAATTCCATGAACGCGTAGCTTGTTATCTACTACAGCATAGTCATCCTCTCGAGGACCCATTTTGGCTGTGCCTGACATATGGTAGATCGTCATGGTATACTGCCGTATAGCACAGTCCCAATATTCATCCGTGAACTCCGGTAGGTGCTTGCAGTTTGGCACTTGTTTGCTGTGAAATCTAGCTCCGAAACGTTTCATGGCTTGAGTTTCCCCGAATGCGATAGCAGCTTTCACTCCTTCACGAAGAACACCCACATCATCGGGATGCGTCAAATAGTTGTGGTAAAGCAGTGGGTAACGAAGCGGATTTTTGGATTGTAGTCGAATGAAACCTCTACTTTTAGGTCGCAACATCATCGGGAAAACGCCAAATACGTCTTGATTGTTGATTTCGCTGAACATGTACTCGTAGAATTCATCCTTCAGGCCGTGAGCTTTCTTGATCTGATCTCCTCCATCAGAAGGCGTTGAAGCACTGGTCAACATGAACTCTATATCTGGCCAGTCATCAGTTTGATTAGCGTATTTAGTATTGATAAAACCAACCGCTTCCAGACCAATACTGCTGGTTAAAGGTCCATCTTCCGTGACAGCGTACCGAATTGCGGAATTAAGATTTACCAAACGATTCATAATGACGGAGATTGGCTGATCAACACGGAACACTAGACCTCCCACTGCTATGTGATCTTGTAGATTCTGTCCAACCCCTGGTAGCTCGTGTATCACTGAGATTCCAACATGTTGCAAATTTTCTCTCGGTCCAATGCCCGAAAGCATCATAAGATGTGGCGTGCCGATAGCTCCAGCTGACAAAATCACCTCTCTCGTTGCATAAACCTCGTACTTCTTTCCATCGCGTACGAATTCCACTCCCAAAGCGCGCTTGTTATCCGAATCCATGATAACCTTGGTAACATGACAAAACAAACCGACATGCAAATTTTTACGATTCCTAATCGGTCTCAAAAAGGCTTTGGACATGCTACATCTTGTCCCTCGTCTCATTGTAAACTGGAAGAACGCAAAGCCGGTTTGCTGCTCACCATTCACGTCCACAATGTCGTAACCCATTTCTTCGCCAGCCTGAAGAAACGATACACCCAATGGAGTTAAATATGGTGGATCCTGTACTTGCATGAGACCACCTAAAAATTAAAAATCAAATATTGTCAATTGAAGAGATCACATTGAAGTAATGTATGCACTAACCTGTAGCATGTTGTCTCTTGTTGCGGGCCAGGTAGGGATTGCGTTGATCTTCAGATTTTCTAAAGTAGGGCAAAACTTCCTCGTAGCTCCAGCCAGGGTTACCCAGCGCGTGCCACAGATCAAAGTCACGTTTGTTTCCCCGCACATACAACATAGTGTTGAGGACCGACGAGCCACCTAAAACTTTTCCACGAGTCCAACAGCATCGGTTGTCCTTCATTGCTTGGCATGCGGTTTTTTGTGGTTGGGTTCTGCGAAGTGAATGTGAACAACAAAAAAAAAGGTTAATTGATGCTACCTATATGATGTTTGCTAATTATCGTTATTTCTATAATGATATCAATAAACAGACGAATACAAATAAAGGGTGGCATTGTTCATGCAGCAAATTGGAGTTTATTCGTTAACTGAATGCAATGATGCGCCCTACCTGAAGATTTTTTCTCACAGTAAGTGAAAACATGCGTACAGCTTGTTAATTGCCTGACTTCAACCTGTTCAACGTAAACATGAAATGCAAGCGGTGAGCATCGTTTAAGCATACCCGCATAGCCGTTTTTCTAAATCATTCGTTATTCTCCATGTGTCAAAACCTCATTGTGAGACCTTACCTGTAACGAATGTAGGTTGAATGGAAACAAAAGTGAATTTTCGTTGTGACTAAGCAAAATTGGAGTCCTTGAAACGAGATGGATTTAGCAAACAGTTTAAATATAAACTAATCAACCGGGGGGTTTCGGCTGGACATTTCCTAGATGACCAGTCATGTGCACCTCTGTCAACAACAAGTTTTATAACTTATCTTGAAGTTCACGCTGAAACGTATCGAGCAGTGCGCCATAATCTGTTTTCAACACCGAATACGTGTTCGGCACACCCAGAGGCAAAGTGACAAAGATTGCTATTTATTGAGCATTATATTGGATTGGTATGGCTTCCAAATAAACCAGTTGAAGAGTGGTAGATTTATATGAACACACCCGGACAATTGTGCATTTGGTTTGGTTGTTTGTAGCTACCTGTCTGATGTGGTCTAATTATGAGAAAAATAGTAATGCAGAATTGTCCCCAAAAATCATTTAAAATCGCTATATTAGTCGAACTACTTAACCGCGACTACCATGTTATCCCGTGATAGTCCTATATCTGTTACTCAAGATTACTACTCTGCCCGTGTTTGTTTTAGTTTGATGAGTGTAACTTCAAGGTACCGCAAACAATTAAAGCTGCTATTGTTTTAAGACAATTTTTGTAGAAGTATCTTTTAATGAAGCATCTTAAAGGAGCTTAGCAGCTCTCTTTAGATATTTTTTTCCTGGCAAGTTTTAGACTTATGTTACATACCTATCGCTACGTTTTTATAACTAAAAACACAGTCAGGATATTGAACCAGAGTATACGCGCATTAACGAAATGCTTTTTTTTTAATGGAAAGAGACGATTCCTAGCAGTTTTTGCAAATAGCCGGCTGCCCTCAGGTCGGTGCAAAACTTATCTGAATATTGGATTTATTTTTTTTGCTGGTTGAATCGGCTTATTAATTTGCATTAATATTAAAACAAACTTTCAACCAAGTTGATAGAAGCATTGACATTTTCATATTCTAATTTACACCTTTGAACTTAAAGGAATCAAGCTTTTGGAGTTACAAAATCATTTAGGAACTTCATAGGTATTTTGTGCCATTTTCAAGATGATTTGGCGATTTCATCATGTCATTGTTGCTGTTGTATTATTTATTTTCAGGACTAATTGGCGTTTTCAGGCCATTTTGACGATTTCAACGCCATTTTGGCAGTTTGAGGCCAGTTTGAAAAGTGTCGACCATTTTGACATTTTGGGTTTATTTTTGGCATTTTAGAGTAATTAGTACATCAAACTAGTTTCGCGAATGTGAGGTCATTTTTGGTGATTCACATTTTAAAATAATTCCGGTGGGTTCAACATTGAGCATTTTGAAGACGTTTGTAAAATTATAATCTTTAGAATAGTTTTTTTTTTCCTTTGATTTGTTTTCCGTCGATTTTGTTTTCCCTGCTGAGCAGCAATGCTACCGACGTCAGGGAGACAGCTCCCACACCTAGACCCTACCTATCGACTCATAGGTAGTCTGCTGGGGTGAGAGGTAATCACGCTTACCACCGGCGCCGCTTAAAGAATTAGTTTTGAAAACACAAAAACAAACGCTGTTGGTCATATTACCCCGTGGGGATTATTACCTCACTTTTCCATGCTCTCAGTAGGAGAAGTCCTTTAATTGGTTTAGGGTAAGGTAGGGTGATAGTATTTTTCTATTTGTTCTATAAATCCAAATCAAATATGTTTCATTCAGTATTAATTGGTCATTTTTGTTTTTTTGGCGCTTAATTAAATATGATTCAAGCCAAAGTAGTAGTCCTGGCTCAATTCATTTTTATTTTTGCAATTCGAGAAGTAGCATGATATTTCAATACGATAAAATGCCTTGCTGCAGTCTGTATGAACAGCAACGAGGTTTCGATTATCCATTGCAATCAATTAACAGTCATTATAGTCAAGTAAGTTTAGTGCTTTAAAAATCCATGATGCCCAGAATAATTACTACAATATAACAATATTTTATATATAAATGAATGATAAATCTGCTTTAAAAAACATATCAAGATAACGGAACTTTAATATTTTTTAACTTCGGTGTCCTGAATTTTCTTAAAATTCTGAAAACTTCTGGTATTTCAAAGTTTGTACATGTCTGGGATAGCTTACTAATTTCAATGCTTAAAATCTAAAAAATTGCAATAACTCAGTGATTCAGTCTAGAAACATTTTAAAATTTATTTTAATTTTTTCGATGTTCCAGGAACTTTATTATATTTTTTTAATGGTCAATAATTGTAATAAAATAAATAAATAAATAAAATGATCGGAGTTTCAGTATTTGTTTCCCAAAGTCTAATATTTTTCCTTCAGTCGGTAAAGACGCAGCTACAAAGCAAGGCCATACTGGTGGCTGGGTTCGATTCCCGGTCCAGTCTAACAATTTTTCGGGTTGGACAGAATCCTGAGATTCAGAAGCCAGGTGCGTTTAAAATTAGAACTGAAATTGATGTGTTCTGCTTGTTCAAATGCTCCAACATAACAGAAGGGCAATATTTGCTTCATAGATATTGTTATCCTTACGGCAAATATGCTGAAAAGTAGCGTGTACAAGCTCCATCACATCAACAAAGTTTATAATATGCCGTATGTCAGTTTATTCCAGGGTAAATTTGTCACCCATATCTAAAAGCACCTTTTGAACAGCCCTACTCAGGTCATGGAATTGCTTGATTATCGATATCAATTAATTCCACCTCGTCCTTAAGTCCTTCTTCTTCTTCTTTTTCTTCTTCTAATTTCAAGCTTATGGCTTATCGCATATTAGCTTATTGCGTGCTCTCAACTTAGTGTTCTAGATGCATTTCCACAGTTATTAATTGAGAGCTTTCGATGCCTGTACCATTTTTGCATTAGTATAATTGTGTGGCAAGTACAATCATACTCTTATGCCCAGGGAAGTCTAGAAATTTTTCAACACGAAAAATTCCTAGACTGGACCGGGAATAAAACCCAGCCACCTCTAGCATGGTCTTGCTTTGTAGCTGCGCCTTTACCGACTAAGCTTACGGGGCCCCTCGTCCATGATAGTTGAATTTCTTTTCTAAGCTCAACTTAATGTGTAGTTGCAGAATCCATGCCGTTTTAACGGTACACAGTAAAAAAATAATTTTGATATCACATCAAAGCGGATGCACTACAATCATGTCGAAAATTTCATGTAATTTTTATGACCACATAAATAAACAAATGCAGTAGAAGCAGCGTAATGTCAGTTCATGCATTGTATTAATGGTAATTTTGTCCTTTTTAGCAAGTAATATTACACCATATTTTCGACATGATTGTAGTGCATCCACTTTGACGTGATATCAAAATTATTTTTTTGCTGTGTAGGGCACTGGTGGGCTTATGCCAGGGCACTCAATTTTCTCATACGAACGCTATGCGACAGCGCGACAGGTACAATCGCGTCATCTGCGGCTCAAAGGTTCATGCTTCGAACGAATTTGATAGCAAAGATTACATCCTCAGAAGAAAGGTTTGTGTATTTGCTCATTTTTCTATGCGTTACTACCACCTTCACTCAAGCGCAGCGCTACTGTATCTGTTTGGATTCTGGCAAAGTTGCCAGTCTTCTGGATATGAAGTTTTCGCTATTAGCTTATTAATTGGGTAACAGTTCTTCATTAATGGGTTGCATATACTCATTAATGGGTAAACAACTTGGGTATTTTTTACCTATTAATGGGTAGTTTCAAGTTAGCGTGTAGAGTCGTGGGCATATTTTCTACAGCTTTACGGTCTTTGACAAAGTTGTTCGATTTACAAACCACAAACTTTTTAAAGTTTTTTTTAAGTTCTTGCTCCCACCGCCTAGAGTGCACCCAATTTAATTTTTTTAGGTGATACTGATTTAGGTGATAGGAAGACTTAGCGTGTAACTTCATGAGCATAAATGTAAGCTTCTACAAATCATACAAATGTGAAATTGTTAGTCCCTGGTTGCTAGGTTACAACAAACAGCGAGTAGCAATTTCATTATTGTTTGTTTTGTGAAAGCTGATATTTGTGCTTATGAAGTTTCACGCTAAGGTTTCATTAAAGTATCACCTTAAATAGAGCGTCCTATGGAGAGGGCTTTGCTGCCCAACACATATGATTTTAAAAAGCAGACTTACACAAAAAACGCATTAAAGCGTTGTCACCATTTTTTTACGTATATAGCTGAGAGTCTTTTTTTTCTAAGATTTGTTTTTCACCGACCTTGTTTTTATACTGAGTACCAATGCTACCGACCCTACATATCGACCCATCAACTCATGAACCGGGGACGAACGACTTTACTTCCCCCAGTGGAAATAATCCTCAGGATATTTATTTCAATGTTGACCTCCAACTGCTCAAGATAAATTAAATATAAGTGAAAAATAAATTGATTTATGTAAACCAGAATTAATTGGTTGTTGATCATGAATATTGAGTGCCAAATATTAATGAAAATTGACTCTTATTAACAAATTTGCAAGTGTGAGGAGTCGTAAACAGATTAAGTTTATTCAGCTTAAATGTGTGTTAACCCTTAAATGCATGATTTTTTATTTTGTGGTGATTTTTTTTTCTTGTAGTATATATTGCTCTTACTATTAAAATGTTGTTTCACCATGTTTAAAGA